AACATAGTAGGTGTAAGATATTGCTGAATACATTGATCAATTCTAGTAAATAAAAAGTTAACCTTGTTTTGGTTACGCGTAGTAGGAATTGACAATTGCCAGAATTTGTATTCATATTCTTTATTTTGCAAATCAAGAAGTCTATAAATTTTGGCTGCAAGATCACATAATGATATATTTGAATTGTGCAATAAATGCTTTAAACATACATTTACAGATTCCACACGAGATGTTGCTATCATGCCACCTGTAAATTTAAATCCAGTAAAACAGTGTACCCAATATGTCTTTGACTTATAGAGGAACTCCATATAATCTCGAGCATTAGGATAGTTTTGTAAAAGTATATTAAATCTTCGTTGAAACTCATCTTCGACAAAGCTATTGCGGCAAAGATAAAACTCATTAAGAAAATTTTGATACTTATCACCTAATACCTTTCGGAGATTCTTATGTAGATTTTGGGTAATATGATAAGCACAATGGATTGGATAAGTTGAAGGAAATACTTGACGAATAGCTGAATCAACAGCAGGATCAGCATCCGTAAGTATAATGCCCGGATGTACACCAGTTGATTCTATAATTTGGCTGAACATCCATACATGTGATTCGAAACTCTCATCTGCTAGAAGACCTTGAGCAAGTAAGATATTACATCGATCATTGTTAAATCCAACAAACAATGACAAAGCCATTCCATAACGATTGGTCTTATGTATAACATTGTTAAGGATACAATCAGAATATTGTATTCAATTTTTGATTTGTCCCGACGTCATCTACAATAAATGGGTTAGGACATTATCATCATCCCACCCACGTATCACGAACTATCAAGAGTCAGATTCTTTTTGTTCATCAAGCCAATTCGAAATCTTTGCTGCATCATTTGATAAAAATTTGCAGGTTGGGCGAAACTTATTTATTGCAGCATAAAGATTTTTTGAGTAAATAGGATGCAATGGAAATTTGCTTTCAAGAAACTTCCTTTGAGCGGTGATACCAAATTTGCAAGATATGGTCATAAACTTAATGTCATCCATCATTTCACTTGTAAACTTCTTAGATTCTTCAAATTCAATCCTATCCTTATTTAGTTCATAATTATGTTTGTCTACAATTTTATTGACAAACACCGAAGTATCAGGATTCTTGTTTTTCGGACATGATGTATTAACTAAAAAAGGACAATGAGTCCTTTTAGAACTAGTGTCTTTGTTTGAATTTGATTCATAAGTTCGTCCGTGATCACATATAAATGCCCGTTTATAAACGAAACTATCCTCACGTAACACCCGATCTTTAATTATTCGAAAATCTTGCTTTTTAGCCCATACATCTAAAAACGATTCACAAATTTCCCAAGTAGAAAATTTCTTTCCTTCGTATAAAGTTATTGATTCTAGTTCAGTAGGAGAATCTACTTCACCATCCATCCGATTAGAATTATCTATTATAGAAAGATCAAAGCAGGTAGTTAATAGTCGAATATAAATCATTTATCTGATAACAACAAGCTTATCATTAATTACGTGTTCATATTGATGCTAATCCTTTTTTCTATAATCTTAGAAAAAGAATATAGCCAATATTCTAATCCTTAACGTTGCTATATCATTTAAAATTTGTTACATTAACAAACACACTTACTTGCATTATCACGTAGGAATTCTATTTCTGAAGCAACATCGTCCATGTTAACCTATTTATATTGTGTTTAAAAACTAAAGAAAAAAAAAAAAATAAAAAAGGAACAAAAAAAAAAACAAATAATGTGGCTGAAATGTAAGAAAGGTAAGTAAAAGATAAGCAAATAAAATTTTTATGATCATAATTTTTATGATCATCATTGATACAAAAAATATTATCTCATGCCACGTAATTCTATATATCACAAGATCAAAGCTGCGCAGCTAGCATTCCTGAACTAATCCTTACAACTCTTACCTAATCTAAATCTTAACCCTAACCCTAACCCTAAATACTAACACTAATACTAACCCTAACTCTAATCAAATCTAATTCTACGAAATTCAATACTCAAATACTGCGCAGCTGTTGGCTACGTGGCCTGCGGCCAGCTTACCTAACCAACCGGCCCTTTTCGAAAGATCTTACGGCAAAAAAAAATATACTGCAGAAAATCTTACGGTAAAAAACAAATACACTGCGCCATTTATTTAATAAATCACGTGATACATAAGTATAGCGATATATCGCTATTGCGATAAATTATAATTATCTAACAAATATTTTTTTATTTAGCTTTTTAAAAAAGGATCAGGTTTTATTACTGGTCAATTATATCCTACACTTTCATATAGTGTTCCAGTTTATAATTATTTAATAGATAAAATTGAAGATATAATTGATAATAATATTAATAGATTGGAAATTAAATATGCAGCTAAATTGGCAAAGGATAAAATATTAGAATATTATCCATTAACAGATGGAACTAATTATATTATTGCTACAGGTTAGTTAATTTATAAAATTAAATAAATTAATATTATATTATTTTATTATTAATTATTATTTATAATTAATTA